AATATTCCACAACACTTGACCTTCATTTTTTACTGAAATTGCATCCATCTCTCCCATGCCTAGCCTGTCTTTGCTCTTTAGCCAAGGTGAACTGCTTCTTCTGCTTCTTCTTTTTTTTGAGACAGGGTTTCTCTGTGTAGTTTTGCGTCTTTCCTGGAACTCGCTTTGGAGACCAGGCTGGCCTCAAACTCACAGAGATCCGCCTGCCTCTGGCTCCCGAGTGCTGGGATTAAAGGCGTGCGTCACCACCGCCCAGCTTCACGAGTGTCTCTTGATTGGGAAAGACCTCTGTGTAGCCTTTTGCTTGTCTGGTGTGCCCATTTGTGACAGGTTTGCCCTTTCTTCCCCCAAAGCCTTCCTAAGATCCCCAAGTTTGGACTGGTTTTCATAGTATTTGTTTTTCTTGTTGTTCTTTAAATTTTACGTTTTATTTGTTTCTTGTGTGTGGTTTGTGCAGGTTTATGTATAGACATTAGCGGGCAGCTAGTGGGAACTGGTTCTCTCCTTCTAGTGTGTGGGTTCTAGGGATGGAATATAGGTCAGACTTTGTAGTAAATCATTTTTCCTGATAAGCCATCTATCTTTCTGGCCCGTGTATGTGTGTGTGTGTGTGTGTGTGTGTGTGTGTGTGTGTGTGTGTGTGTGTGTGTTTAGAAAAGGTCTCAACAGAGTGAGGTGGTACATGTCTTTAATCTTTAATCCTAGTACTTGGGAGGCAGAGGCAGGTGGATCTCTGTGAGTTTGAGGCCAGCCTGGGCTACAAAGTGAGTTCTAGGATAGCCAGAGGTATATAATAAGACCCTGCCTCAACCCCTCCCCCCCAAAAAAAGAAAGAAAGAACAAAAGAAAGGAAGACAAGGTCTCAAGGACCAGTCATAGTGGTACATTCCTCATCTCAACACTCAGGAGGTAGAGGCGGGCAGATTGTCCTGAGTTCAAGGCCTTCCTGGTCTGCACAGTGAATTCTAGGCCAGTCAGTGCTACACAGTGAGCCCCTGGGGTGTTTGTTGCGAGGAGAAAATGTCTTGAAATGTGGTACATATTGGTCTGGAGTTAGTGATCCTCCTGCCTCAGTCTCCTGAATACTGAGATTACAGGTATGCTCTACTGTGCGTAGCTCCGTGGTGTTCGGGGATGCAACCTCTCTGCCTATAAAAAGGTGCACCCGAATGAGAACAAGAAAAATTGCATTTCCTTGGTGTTAATTAGGATTGTAATTCTTGTTGAGATCAAGCTACCCCCTCCAAGTTACTCCATATTGTAAAAAACAGTCTTTTTTTTTTTTTTTTAAAATAAAAAGACTGTTCCTTTCCCAAAGAGCTTCCATTTACAAGCAGCTTTTGACTCCGTTTTGAAGGCAGAAGATGACTGCCTAGCAGGACCTGCACATAGCATCATCGTCCAGCACCACCTATGCAGCATAGACTGATAAATGACTTACTCCTGGGAGTAGAAATGAATTTATTGGGGTGAATTGAGACTGTAGGGGCACATGAATATATTAAAATTGTACCAAGGAAAAGCAGGCCTGAGACCTTTTCAGACACACCAAGGAAAGGGTGTAACTCCCTCACCTGGACCCCATGAAGTGGTGGGGATCTTAGCAATGCATGTCAAGTTCCTTGGACCTGTCAACACCTGCTGTTCCCATCAAAGACATCGAAGACTCAACTCCTGAGGGTCCCTGGGGCTCTTTTTGTAGACAGGATCTGGTATAGCCCAGATTGGCCTCATACTTCCTACTTCCCATGTAGCCTTAATTCCTGAGCCTATGGTTCAGTTACCCAAGGGTTCTGACTTCAGAGATTGATTTGAATGCATGAGTATGACTAAGTAGGAATCTACAAACCTAATCATGGGAGTGAAGAGAAAGAAGTCATTCATGAGGCCTGGGTGTGCCTCTTGGAGAACGTGGAATTTCAGACACATTCTATGATAAGGCCAGGGCTTGGCAGGGCTTCCTCACTCTGGCAAGCAGGGGCCGGGTTCTTGTGGATGGTGAGCTGGGGAAGGTGGGTCAGGGTGGGGGGAGGGGGGAGGGGAGGTCCGGTTGGAGGCTGGGGTGTGTATTACTCAACTGTGGCCGGGGAAACAAGGAAGTTAAGAAAATGGAAGGAGGCTGGCGTGCGGCTCACTCCTGTAATCCTAGCACTCGCTGGGCTGAGGCAAGAGGATTGCTTTTGGCCGGGCCGCGTCTTTATTTTATTTTTTGTATCTGAGTATTTGATGACCTGTATGGTCACCATGTGAATGCAGTACCCTGGGGGGGGGGGGGGAAGGACAGAAGAAGACAGTGGGTTCCATGGAACTGGAAGTGGGAGCTGACTTATGGGTGCTGGGAATCAAGCCTGGGCCCCTCTGCAAGAATGGCCGAGACAGAAAACTGGCGTCGGTTGGGAAGCACAGCTCTGGTAGCCTTGAGAAACACCCCCTGACAGACTTCACCCTCCTTCCAGCTTCTGGCAACAGACTTGCTGCTGGAAATGCCGGTTCACCATCCTTCGTCACGTATTCTATGAATTGAACCCACTAAGGACAGAAAAGGTAAACCATGATGCTGTACAGTCTGCAAAGTTGCAGGAAACTGCAGCCCCGAGGCTCACTCAGTGGAGCTCTGTCCGCTCAGTCCCAGCCAGCACAAATACTTCAGACTCAGGTACCTGTTCTGGGCATTTCGCCTGCTAACCGGGGTAGGACAAAGACTAAGGCAACCTTATCAGCTTCTGTCTTGGCTCCTTCAGCCACTCAGTTTGGCTTCGTCTTGCCCAGCATTTCTTCAGATCCACATTGTTATCACCTCACACCACATAGGTACTACAAGTATGATTGTTTCTGGAATTTTTGGCCTGTAAATGGAATCATTTAGTGATGGAGAAATAAAGAAGGCTTAAGTGTAATTGTGAGAAAAATTGGGGCCCACACCACTGCATCTTTCTTGATTTGTGTCTCCTTTGGACGTCCATGGGGCATCCACACCTGCTTTGCTATTTTTTCTCACAGCTCCCCAGAGGGACAAAGGTCCCTCAGTAGCAAGACTGTCATTCTTGACACTCAAGACCGTGTCCTGTTTATTTCTGGAGCCGCCACACTGCAGATATGCAGTAAACACAAATACATATTTAGGAGGGAAGAAACCGGCCATTTTCTGAGTTGATTCCCTCACGTCCCTTTGCGGTGTAAATCCACAGACTGTGCTCGACACTGTGAAATCAAGCCAGTGCCCAAGGAACTACCCCTGTTCTCTTATTCTGTGTTCTCCAGCTTGCTTCTGCTACAGACCTTAGCTATTGTGCGTGCGCGCGCGTGTGTGTGTGTGTGTGTGTGTGTGTGTGTGTGTGAGAGAGAGAGAGAGAGAGAGAAACAGACAGACAGACAGACAGACAGAGAGGCTCCACTTTCTCTAGTCACTGCTTCTCCCCAGCATTATGAAACCTGCCTCCAGCTTCCGTCATTGGCACGCACTGCTCACACTTCCTAGGTATCTCTCTCTCTCTCTCTCTCTCTCTCTCTCTCTCTCTCTCTCTCTTTTTTTTTAAGATTTATTTATTATGTTTTTTTTCCCCCAGAGCTGATGACCGAACCCAGGGCCTTGTGCTTGCTAAGCAAGCGCTCTACCACTGAGCTAAATCCCCAACCCCTATTTATTATGTTTACAGTGTTCTATTTGCATATATTCCTGCATGCCAGAAGAGGGTGCCAGATCTTATTACAGATGGTTGTGAGCCACCATGTGGTTGCTGGGAGTTGAACTCAGGACCTCTGGAAGAGCATCCAGTGCTCTTAACCTCTGAGCCATCTTGCCAGCCCCCAGTTAATACATTCCTTAACTTTGCTACACAACACAGGGACCACCAAGGGTCCAGTTAAATCTGGCAGAGGCTACGTCTCCAGTGTGAGTCTCTATATCATGCACTGTGACCCAGTGTGTGTGTAAACTAACAGAAGGCCTAATTTAGAAGTAAACATTTGTGACAAATAGCTGACTCGCAGCCAGTCATGGCCAAGCTGCAGTCAACCACAGGTTGTGCTGACCATGTTTCACTAACCAGTTACACTGTGTCCGCAACACCCATTTCCTGTCCACAGATGCTCCTCGCCTGCAACCTGGTGGTCTTAGTTACTTTTCTCTTGTTATAAAACAGCATCATGACCAAGGTAACTTATGAAAGAAAGCATTTAATTTGGAACTCCTATATCTGGAGGGTTAGAGTCCACAGCCATCATGGCAGGGAGCATGGTGGCAGGCAGGCAGGTATGGCACTGGAGAAGTAGCTGAGAGCTTACTACTAACCCACAAGCACACGGGGGTGGGGGGAGCGCACCCATGCTAACTAACTGGGAATGTGTGGGCTTTAGAAACCTCTAAGCCCCACCCGCAGTGACTCACCTTCTGATCCTTCCCAAACAGTTCCAACCAACTGGGACTGAAAAATTCAAACACTTGAGCCAGTGGGGGCCATTCTCAGCCAAGGCACCACACAGGTGTTGTGTGGCTCCCTTAGGTGAATCATTTCTTCTTCATTCAACTCTGCTAAACATAGTTGTCCAGAGTTTCATTTGTTTTATGGTCTAGAGATGTGACAAGGACCTTGCGCATACTAGGTAAACTCCCCCTACCCACTTTTTTTTTAAACAGAGTCTCACTTTGTAGTGTTAGTTGGCTTGGCACTTGATAGTCAAAACAGGCTGGCCTTGAACTCACAGAGCTCTGCCTGTCTCTGCCTCCTAAGTACTGGGATTAAAAGCCTGTGCCACCGTGGACAGCATGTAATTGATCTCACATCCTTACGAACAGTAGAATCTTCTTCCTTAAAGCGTGGACCATCTTGACCATCAGCATTATTACTATTGAAAGATCACCAAAAAGCATAATTTTGGACCCAATATGGTAGCACATGCCTGTAAAGTCAGCATTGCGGAGGTGGAGACAGGAGGATTAGGAGTTGAGGGCCCCTGGAGAGATGGCTCAGTGGTTAAGAGCACGGCCTGCTCTTCCAGAGGTCCTGAGTTCAATTCCCAGCAACCACATGGTGGCTCACAATCATCTCTAGTGGGATCTAACGCCCTTTTCTGGCATGAAGGTATACCTGCAGATAGAGCACTCATATATACATAAAATAAAACTTTAAAAAGGAGTTGGAGGCCATAATTGTTTACACAGTGAGTTCAAGGCCAGCCAGGATTATATGTAACCCATCTTAAAAAAGTAAACAAAAAAAACCAGGAAAATTAAACAAACAAGTAAAAATATTAAAGTAAACTTGAACAACAATGTCTTTCATAGGTTACTCGTGGAGACAACAGGAAAACGTAGTAACTTCAAATAGTGCTGTATATAAATGGGACACTGGTTTTATCAACTTATTTCCACTAGAGGGCAGTAGATATCACTAAATACAGTTAAGCCTGTTTGCTTTCAGGAAATGAAGTCTTAGTTTTGTAATTATTCTGAAATGTGGTTGGAGTTCAAGTATTATTATTATTATTATTATTATTATTATTATTATTATTATTATTATTATTATTGTTTTTTTGAAACAGGGTTTCTCTATGTAACAGCTCTAGCTGTCCTGGAACTCACTTTGTAGACCAGGCAGGTCTAGAAGTCACAGAGATCCGCCTGCCTCTTCCTCCTGAGTTCTGGGATTAAAGGTGTGCACCACCACCACCCGGCTCAAGTATTATTATTATTATTTTTTTTTTTTAAGATTTATTTATTTATCATGTATACAGAAGAGGGCGCCAGATCTAATTACAGATGGTTGTGAGCCACCATGTGGTTGCTGGGAATTGAACTCAGGACCTCTGGAAGAGCAGTCAATGCTCTTAACCTCTGAGCCATCTCCCCAGCCCCTCAAGTATTATTTTAAAGAGCAAACTACTTGCTTGGGTTTAGGAATACTTATTATTTTTTTTGCATTTGTATATTTATTCATTTAGTGTATGTGTGTATGTGGTGTGTGGTGTGTGGTATGTGGTGTGTGGTGTGTGGTGTGGTGTGTGTGTGTGTGTGTGTGTGTGTGTGTGTGTGTGTGTGTGAGTGTGTGAGAGAGAGAGAGTTCCTGTGCGTGCACAGCAAGTGCCATTACTCACTGAGCCCTCTAGCCAACCCAGGAATGCTTTCATTTGATGCAAACTGTAAACTGAATTTTCTCGGGTCTGGAGAGATGTCTTAGCAGTTAAGAGCGTACATTGCTCTTAGAAGACCTGAGTTTGATTGGTTAGAAACTAATTACGCTGGGCAGCTCACAACTGCCTGTAACTCCAGCTCTAAGGGTACCAATACCTTTGGTCTCCTGCACGCACGCATGTACACACACCCACACACAAACAAAACAAATCTTTGTTTTCTTGTTTTGGTTTTCTTAGACAGGGTTTCTCTGTGTAGCCCTGATTGTCCTGGAACTGCTGTGTAGACCAGGCTAGCCTCAAACTCAGAGATCCACCTGCCTCTGCCTCCTGAGTACTGGGATTATAGGTGTGCACCACCATTGCCCCATGAAATAAAACATTTTTTTTTTTAAAAAATAATTGAGGCCAGCCTTGTCCTTAACTCAGAAACTATCTGCAATTGATAATCACTTGCAAATGAAAACTTAGTTTTCTCCAAGGGAGTCTGATGGGGGAAACAAACCACTCTTAAGGCAGGCCCCATGCCCAGCAGCAGATGCCAACCGAAACCAAACTCAGTGGCATCTTTGGAAGTTCCTTGACTCATAATGCCATGTCTGGCCCTTGCTTTCCTTTTCTTCTTCTTTTTAAAAATCTATCTTATTTTTCATTTTTTTCTCTCTTTTTACCTAATAAGTTCTTTGAGTATATACTATGGCTTCCAGCTTGGTGTTTTTATGGAAGCCCTGAGTGGGGGATAACTGGGTCTCTGTGTCCTATACCTGTTTCGTGTGCCTTATCTCTGGCTCTTTTCCTTGTTTTGTCCTATTTCAGTGTGTTGGTTTCTGCTTGTTATTTTATTTTATTATTATCCCTTAGAAGTCTGGTTTTTTTCTTTCTATATATTTTTTTTTTATGTTGAGAAGTAGTGTAATTTTAGCATCCAAGAGAATAAAACAAACACCAGGAGCTCACCAGTTGGTGACACATAAATCAATGTTTCAGAGCTTTACAAAAAGTCCTGCAGTAACTGGAGACTCCGCTAGGGAGCGGGCTGCTGTGTTATTATAATCAATGACAGCCACCCCAACAGGCCTAAGCAGCCGCGTTCGCCCTCCTTCAGGGATTGATGCACTCTACTTGTCTATCCACTACAGGGTCACTGGAGACTGGAATCCAGCCACCCTCCATAGGAGGATTCTGACTACACCTCCAGAGCAGGCATCTCTGTAGATGGCTCAGCAGGCCTGTTCCACTTCTAAGTGGTGAGAGTAGCCCAGATCCACGACCCCCACAGCGTACACAGTATGAAGATTAGGGAAGGTGTTGACAATGGGGTGGAGGTTGTGCTTATGTTTCTGCAGGAGACAAGAAGGTGTGGATACCATCCAAACTGACAAAAAAAATTCTAAAAAACTTTTGAAAGCTGCCACTTTGTTCTTTGTTACACTGTCTGTGGTGACCGTACAGGTAACAGGGGTAATGGGGGACTGATCATACTTACCGGGCTTCTAGTTCCCATCCTCCCATTAATAAAGGGGTAAGTTGGGGAGATACAGATATTCCTGCTGTGGTCAATGATTCCTCTGGGCTACCTGGTCCTTATGACCACAGAGGACCTGCTCAGCCTGAGGAAGAGGGTTAGGAGATTACAAACTACACACTCTGGGAGTGCAAGGAATTCTATTTGTATGGGTAATGGAACTCACTGTCGAAACAGAACTTTTCAATTTTGGCCATCTTTAGTTAATCATAGTACTGCCCAGAACTTTCATGATAAATTTCATATGCTTCATGTATCTGGTTTTAGAGGATAGGAGATTAATGCTTCTAGTTCCATAAATCTGTCTTGTGAGATGTGGGGTACTAACAAGGAATCTGATTAGGCACATTGGCAACAACGTAAAACTGAGAAACCTTGAGTGCTTATCAATATCTCCATAGAGACGTCGTTGACTGGATCCTTTATGGCTTCCCTTGGGGAAAACATTCTCACTCAGAGTTAAGATGGCAGTGGTGTAGTTGGAATGGGATTGATGAAGCTGTCCAATGGCATGGAGTTGGAATGTCAGGTTCCATATCACATTTTGACAATTCAGTTTAGACTAATTTGTGGAAACTGGCACGTGCCTTACAGTCTTTTAAACTTTGGAAAGGAAAATTAAATGTTTATGATGGTAAATACTTTGCCCTTTAGATTAAATCAAAGTCACACCTTTGTAGCACGTGCACCATTACCTCATACATGATTAAAGGGCCTATACAATGGCACCCTGGTAACTATAGTATCACATGTGAATGTTGTACTCTTCATACCTGCTTAGTGCTGGTGTATTATTGGATGTCGCTTCTGAAAGTTTATAAATTCCTAGAGCAAAGCCGGCCATCTGGATACCAGTGATGTTATTGAGGCCATGGCGAGATTCTCCTGTGCTGATTCTAGTCCAGAAACTCTCTGAAGGAATATTAAGAAGAACACGTCAGATTGGACTGATTATTGCTGTAGTTACAGGAATTATTGCATTGACTGAAACTTTTGCAATAGTCGGGATGGCCCTTCATAAAGAAACTCAAACTGCTGAATTTGTTAGAGACTGGCATCAGCGTTCTGCAGACCTTTGAGCTCAACAGAATAAAATAGATAATGAGGCAGTTAATGAGACAGCTGGCTTGAGGCAAGCTGCGTTACTTTTGGGAGATCAGTTAGAGACTTTAAAGGAACAAATTAGATCACAATGTGACTGGAATGTTACCACTTACTGTATTACACCTTTAAAGTTTAATGAAAGCAAGTGTGACTGGGAAAGGTCCAAATGCATTTGTTGACTCACCCTAATGCTTCTCAGATATTTATGATTGACAACAAGGAATTAAGGAGACCTTTTCGAGTAAGTATCTGGAATGGATGTTATGGAAAGCCTTGCAGACACCATAGCTTCTTTTAATCCTATGAATCATTTTGATCAGTTTCATATTCTAGCAATTGTTATACTTGTTTTTTGCTATAATGATTTTGCTGGCTTTCAAGTGTATTCGGATTTATGTACGTGAGACTATGAGTCAGTACAAAGGAGAAAAGGTTGTCTTCACTGTGTGGCTGCCTAACCTTCAACATAATTAATATAGCTTAAATGAAGGGGGGGGGGTGTCGTAGGAATTTAGCAGAGTCACTGTATCCGGGGTAGACATCAGAATGAACAGCTGTTTTCTAGAAGTACCTTCACCTTGAAGAATCCTCGTGGAAAACAGTGATTGTTTTCCATGATTTGTAGAATTGTTTTACTGAAGGGGCGTTGCAGCCATCCCATGACTTTGGTCACAAGAGGCCGCAGGCACGCCTAAGGCTCTTGTATTATTGTGTATTGCAAATGATACATACGTAATAAAGGACTAAAGTCATCAGGGCATGTGATGCTTTCCTTTAGTAAGACATGTAAATTAGATTAGGGACCTTAGTATGAGGAAATACTTCTGTGTAACAATCAATAAATACACTTTTGTATGATTGTTTGGGGCTCAGTCCATCAGAGAGGCTGGACCTTCCTGCTGCCACATAGGCCTTAAAATTTCACCTTGGAGTGCCTTCTTTCTTCAACTGACCCACACTACACAGAGCACCCTGACAAGCTCACCTGAGCTCGTGGGAGCTCATGGACTCTGGACCAGCTAGGGAGCCAGCATGGGACCGACCTAGGCTCTCTGCATATGTGTGACAGTTGTGTAGCTTGGTCTGTTTGTGGGGCTTGAGCAGCGGGATCAGGACCTGTCCCCGTCACTTGAGCTGGCTTTTGGGAACCTATTCCTCAGGTTGGGTTGCCCTGCCTGCCCATCCTTAATGCAGGGGGAGGAGCTTGGTCCTGCCTCAACTTGATGTGCCGTGCTTTGTTGACTCCCATGGGAGGTCTGCCCCTTTCTGAATGAAGACAGAGGAGGAGTGGATGGGGGGGGATAGAGGGGATGAGGGAGGGAGGAGAAGAGGTAATGGGAGGAGAGGAGGAG